TTTTTTTTTTTTTTTTTTTTTTTTTTATTTTTTTTTTTTTTTTTTTTTTTTTTTTTTTTTTTTTTTTTTTTTTTTTTTTTTTTTTTTTTTTTTTTTTTTTTTTTTTTTTTTTTTTTTTTTTTTTTTTTTTTTTTTTTTTTTTTTTTTTTTTTTTTTTTTTTTTTTTTTTTTTTTTTTTTTTTTTTTTTTTTTTTTTTTTTTTTTTTTTTTTTTATTTTTTTTTTTTTTTTTTTTTTTTTTTTTTTTTTTTTTTTTTTTTTTTTTTTTTTTTTTTTTTTTTTTTTTTTTTTTTTTTTTTTTTTTTTTTTTTTTTTTTTTTTTTTTTTTTTTTGTGAAATTTTTTTTGTTTATTTTCCCGCAATCCATTTTAATTATTTTTTTTTTTTTTTTTTTTTTTGATTCCGCTTTTTTTTTTTTTTTTTTTCATTTACTTTTTGCTTTTTTTTTTTTTTTTTTTTTTTTTTCATTTTTTTTTTTATTTTACAGTTTTTTTATTTTTTTTTCAAAGTTTTTTTTTTATTTTATTTTTTCGCTGAAATTTTTTTTTGTTCACGGAAAGTTTTTTCTTTTTTTTTATGTTTTTTTTTATTTTTTTTTTTTTTTTTTTATTTTTTGTTCTTATGGAAGATTTTTTTTACAAAATTTTAATTTTAAATTTTTTTTTAATTCTTTTTGGTTTGACTTAATTTTTTTTTTTTTCCAGGACCCCGCATTCACTATATCCGCTCTCCCCCCGGACCCCGCATTTTTTTTCCGCTCATTTTCTTGGACCCCGCATTTTATTCCGCTCTCCCCGGACCCGGACCCCGCAATTTTTTTTTTTATATCCGCTCTCCGACCCCGCATTCATTTTTTTATTCCGCTTTTTTTTTTTTATTTTTTCACTATTTTATTTTTTTTTTTTTTTTTTTTTTTCACTATATTTTTTTTTTTCTCCCCCGGATTTTTTTTTTTTTCACTATATTTTTTCTCCCCGGACCCCGCATTCACTATATTCCGTTTTTTTCCAGGACCCCGCATTTATATTTTTTTTTTTTTTTTTGGGACCCCGCATTCACTATATCCGCTCTTTTTTTTTTTTTTTTCACTATATCCGCTCTCCCCGGACCCCGCATTCACTATATTTTCTTTTATTTTTTTTTTTTTTTTTTTTTTTATAACCGCTCTTTTTTGACTTTTTTTAATTTTTTTTTCATTTTTGGGTATTGATTTTTTTTTTTCGTTTTTTTTTTTTGGCATTTGGGTATCTATTTTTTTTTTTTTTTTTTCATTTTTTATATTTTGTTTTTTTTTCATGTAATTTTTTTTTTTTTGTGTGCATAAAATCAACTGTTTTTTTTTAATATTGTGTGACACTTTAGTTGGAACCACCACTGTTGGTTGGATTTTTCTCATTGTACTCATTAGTAAAAAAAAAAAAAATTTTTTTTTAAAAAATCATTTTTTTTTTTTTTTTTTTTTTTTTCTACGGATTCATAATTCTTGTTTTGTTTTTTTTAATCACTTCCCCTCCATAGGACGCAGCAATACATCCTTGGGTTTTTTAGGATGTAGGTCTTATTTTTTTTTTTTCTTCTTCATTTTTTTTTTTTGTCATGGCCGATGCTTTCAGCCCATGCTATCAGCCCATGTAGGTGTTAAAGACCCCAAATCTCTCCATAGAGGACCTGTCACAGCCCATGCTATCAGCCCATGCAGGTCTTATAGACCCCAAATCTCTCCATAGAGGACCTGTCACGGCCATGCTATCGCCCATGCAGGTCTTATAGACCCCAAATTTCTCCATTTTGGACCTGTCACGGTTCATGCTATTTTTTTTTGCAGGTCTTATAGACCACAAATCTTCCATAAAGAGGACCTGTCTATGCCCATGCTATCAGCCCATGTAGATCTTATAGACCCCAAATCTCTTCATAAAGAGGACCTGTCACGGCCCATGCAGGTCTTATAGACCCCAAATTTTTTCCATAAAGAGGACCTGTCACAGCCCATGCTATCAGCCCATGCAAGCCTTATAGACCCCAAATCTCTTCATAAAGAGGACCTGTCATTTTTTTTTTTTTTTTTTTTTTTTTTTTTTTTTAACCCATGCAATTTTTTTTAGACCCCAAATTTTTTTCAGATTTTGTTTTTTCATTTATATTAGGTTTATAAATCTCTTCACAAAAGAGGACCTGTCATGGCAGATGATATCAGCCCATGCCGGTCTTATAGACCCCAAATCTCTCTTTAGAGGACCATTCACGGCCCATGCTATCAGCACATACAGGTCTTATAGACCCCAAATCTCTCCATAGAGGACCTGTCACGACCCATGCTGATGTTCATCATTCCTTGTGATATTAATAAAAGTAATAAAAAATAAATAAAGTTACAGTGTAACAAAAAAAAATTAATAAGTAAATAATAAATGTAAAACATTTTTTTAAAGCACCCCCATCCCACTGCACTCGCACAGAAACGCAAATGCGCACTTCAGTACCGCACACCTATGTGAACTACAATTGCCATGTGAGGTATCACCGCGATTTTTTCAGAGAGGCAGCAATCATTCTGGCACCAGACCTCCTGCGCAACTCTAAACTGGTGACCTGTAAAGTCTTCTGAACCGTCACCTGTGGAGAATTTAAGGTATTTTAGTTTGGCGCCGTTCCACAGGCTTGCGCATTTTTAAAAGCGTGACATGCTTGGCATCTATTTACTTGGCATAGAATTATCTTTTATATTTGGGTATTATATTGTGATTTTGTACATTAAAATTCATTAAAATTAATTTTTTTACCCCACCCCCAAAAAAATATCTTTTTTAAAGGCCACTGCGCAAATATTGGGTGACATAAAAATATGCAACACGCACTATTTTAGTCTCTAGGGCCTCTGCCTAAAAAAAACGTATAATGTTTGAGGATTCTAAGTAGCTGTAACAACAAAAATGATGCTTTTTATGTGTAGGAGAGGAATGTTAGAATTCCCAGACTGGAAGTAATCACGTAAATTTCAGACATAAATGCTTTTTTAGACACAAAAAAAACCCCAAAAACCTCAAAAACGGCCCTGGCAGCAAAAGGGTAAAAAGCACCTTTAACCCTTTTGCTGCCAGGGCTGTTTTTGTTTTTTTTTTTTTTTTTGTGCATTACACTCATGTGAGTTGTTACACTTTTCAGGTGTATTGGGTCAATTTTTGAAGGGCCCGATTCAACCGAATTGAGTCTAGGTTCGCGCCTATGCATTTCTGCGTTGTGTTTTGCATTTTTTTTGCACTTGTGTGTTTGATGCATTTTGCGTTTTGCTTTTTTTTTTAATTTTTCTTATTGCTTGTCCATCTGGCCACTGTATATAAACGGCCGGACGGTGGCAGTGCAGGGGCGGGTGGCAGTTCATAAGCGTCTTCCCTGCCCCCTGCTTGTGCGCGCTCCCTGGGAGCGCACAGCACCGCGATCCAGTGCTCGCTGTGTCCTCGGGACACAGTAGAATACTGCGAGGTTCCGATCATGTGATCACATGCAGAGTAGTAAGCAAGATGTCATTGCTTACTACCTGTGAAATCTGTGAATGATCACAGAGATCACAAGGTACAGGGCCTATTCACAACAGCCTTGTACCATGTGACAAGCTGTGACCAATCACAACTCACACAGTATTTCTCATTGGCTGCAGGAATGCAGCCAGAAAGAAGGAGAAAATGATTGATTTCACAGCCTTTATGGGTGTAAAAGCAATCAGTGTAAAAAAAAAAAAAAAATCTTCATCACCCCCCACAAGTAGTAAAGTGTCACCATGGTGACTGTACTGCTAGGGTGACAGTATGTAGGAAAAAAAAAAATAATAATATTAAAAAAATAAAATAAAAATCTAAGGATTTTTTAAATTATCATTTTTGGTCATAAACTAATTTGGGGGGGTTTTTTTACTTAAAAGATAACGGAATAAATGTTGGCCGAGATTTATGATGAAATATTATTTATTTGCAAAATTTTATAAGAAAAATACTTTTTTTCAAAATTTTTGGACTTTTTCATTTATATATCAAAAAAAAAAATAAAAACCCCAGTGGTGAATAAATACCACCAAAATAAAGCTTTATCTGTCTTAAAAAAATCCTAAAAAATTCATATGAGTACAGTGTTGCATGACCGCGCAATTGTCATTCAAAGTGTGACAGTGCTGAAAGCTGAAAATTGGCCTGGGGGCAGGAAGGGGTGAAAGTGTCCGGACTGGAAGGGGGTGAAGTGTCCGGACTGGAAGGGGGTGAAAGTGTCCGGACTGGAAGGGGGTGAAAGTGTCCGGACTGGAAGGGGGGGAAAGTGTCCGGACTGGAAGGGGTGTGAAAGTGTCCGGACTGGAAGGGGGTGAAAGTGTCCGGACTGGAAGGGGGTGAAAGTGTCCGTACTGGAAGGGGGGGAAAGTGTCCGGACTGGAAGGGGGGGTGAAAGTGTCCGGACTGGAAGGGGGGGGGGAAAGTGTCCGGTCCGGACTGGAAGGGGGGGGAAAGGTCCGGACTGGAAAAGTGTCCGGACTGGAAGGGGGGGGAAAGTGTCCGGACTGGAAGGGGGGGAAAGTGTCCATACTGGAAGGGGGGGAAAGTGTCCGGACTGGAAGGGGGAGGAAGGGGGGGAAAGTGTCCGGACTGGAAGGGGGTGAAAGTGTCCGGACTGGAAGGGGGGGGAAAGTGTCCGGACTGGAAGGGGGTGAAAGTGTCCGGGTGAAAGTGTCCGGACTGGAAGGGGGGGGAAAGTGTCCGGACTGGAAGGGGGTGAAAGTGTCCGGACTGGAAGGGGGTGAAAGTGTCCGGACTGGAAGGGGGGAAAGTGTCCGTACTGGAAGGGGGGGAAAGTGTCCGGACTGGAAGGGGGGAAAGTGTCCGGACTGGAAGGGGGTGAAAGTGTCCGGACTGGAAGGGGGGAAAGTGTCCGGACTGGAAGGGGGGGGAAAGTGTCCGGACTAGAAGGGGGGGAAAGTGTCCGGACTGGAAGGGGGTGAAAGTGTCCGGACTGGAAGGGGGTGAAAGTGTCCGGACTGGAAGGGGAGGGTGTCCGGACTGGAAGGGGGTGAAAGTGTCCGGACTGGAAGGGGGGAAAGTGTCCGGACTGGAAGGGGGGGAAAGTGTCCGGACTGGAAGGGGGGGAAAGTGTCCGGACTGGAAGGGGGGGAAAGTGTCCGGACTGGAAGGGGGTGAAAGTGTCCGGACTGGAAGGGGGGGAAGTGTCTGGACTGGAAGGGGGGGAAAGTGTCCGGACTGGAAGGGGGGGAAAGTGTCCGGACTGGAAGTGGTTAACCCCTTCTGATAACAATCAAGTAAAAATAAATCAAAAAAAAAGTTTTAAAAATGAAAATTATATTAAAAAATATAAAACTTTTTAAAAAAAATTGCCGTAGCCCCCTTTGCCCCGCACACCTGAGCAAACGCAAGCCCAGGGTGTGCACGTGTATGTAAACCGCGTTCGCACCACACGTGTGACATATCGCCGCAAACATCAAAGTGAGAACAATTCCAGCACAGGAGCTCCTCGTTTACTGTAAACCGATGAGCTGTAGAGGCTTTTAAATCGCCACCTATGGTGATTTTTGGGCACCGTAGCTTTTGGCGATATCGCGGGCGCACGCAATTTTAAGACATGAACATGTTTGGTCCCTATTTACTCGATGCCACCTCATCTTTCGTATTTTAACCAAAAAATGGGTATTCAATTGTGGTTTTTTTTGCACTGAAAATTCATTTTATCATCTTTTTTTCCTGAAATTTTGCGTTTTATTAAACAGTTGAGAAAATATCACGCGACATAAAAATATGGAAACATCACCTTTTTTATTCTACAGGGCATCTGCTTTCACAAAATGTTGAATGTTTTGGGGTTTAAGTAATTTTATTGCCCAAAATTGAGATTTTTATGTGTATGCGAACAAATTTTTTAAAAAATGGCTGTGGAGCCGAACTGGTTAACGCCGCTGTGCGCAGGCCAGCGTTAGGAACCCCGCCACACTCATCCGTAAGACTTCTGGGGCTCCGACCGCCAGCCAATGAGGAGTGATGTTGTGTCCGTGCTCGTTACCCCCCCATCCCCCGCATGAGGATCTCAATCTGGAAAGGCCTGCCGTGTGGCTGATGGACGGATGGATGGATGGGCCTGAGTGGGGCCTCATGTCTAAAGTTTGCCTAAGGCCTTACAAAGCCTAGAGCCTCCTCCATGTGCCGGAGTTTTTTCTGGCGTCACTCCATAAAACGCATTGGTGGGAATGGACCTGTTAAAGTCAATGGAAAATGCAGCAGAATTCCTTCTGTCATACCTGGTGAGCGCACATTTAGATGTGTTCAGCTGGGGTGCAGATAGCGGTGATCCATGCAGTGGGGGGGGGTTGTTAACCTCTTCCTGTCCGCCCTATTGCAGAAGTGCTGCTACAGGGTGTCACGGGTGCGCAAAATCACATATATATATATAATTCTCCATTCACGGGCAGGGGGGGGTGAGTGCCCTACCTTCACCACCGTCAGGGGCGGACTGACCATTCAAGCACTGCCTGAGGGCCCGGGCTCAGTAGGGGGCCCCATGAGATGCCCCTGGTTCCTTTCATTGGCTTTTTCATAAGTTTTTTTGGGTGTGGGCGAGGACACAGAGGCCCCATGATCCCCTATTGCCCGGGGGCCCCATGAGTTGTCAGTCCACCCCTGGCCACCATTCATGACCGCAGCTGTCAAACACCGGGTCCCGACCGGTGATTGCTCTCCAGCGCATGGTGATTGCCGAGGATCTCCAACGGGAAGAACTGTTGCAAACACAACAGTTCTCCTCCCTGTCGGCTCGGGCACACTGCACAGCACAGCCATATAGAGCAGTGTGAATACAGTGAAGCACACAGACCCCGCCTCCTAGTAAAACACTCCCAGCACACAGTTAACCTTTTGATCACTCCAGATGTTAACCTCTTCCTGCCCAGTGCCATTAGTACAATGTCAGTGCTTTTTATTAGGCCCGATCACTGTATTGGTGTCACTGGGGATGTCAGTGACACCAAGTCAGTGCCCCCCCCCCCCCCCCAGTGTTAGAATGTCCACCGCAGTCCCGCTATAAGTCGCTGATCGCCGCCATTACTAGTAAAAATAATAAAAAAAAATCCCAGTATCTATCCCTCCATTTGTAGACGCTATAACTTTCACATAAACCAATTAATTTACACGTATTGTGATATTTTTTTTTAGCGAAGACACGGAGCGGGAGACATTTTGGCCTAAATTTATGACGAAATTTGATTTTTTAATTTTTTTTTGTACTGGACAAGTTTTATAGCAAAAAGTAAAAAATATTGTTTTTTTTTTTCTCAAAATTGGCAGTTTTTTTTTGTGGATAGCACAGGCGATCAAATACCACTGAAAGAAAGCTCTATTCGTGGGAAAAATAGGACATAAGTTTTGTTTGGGTGCAGCATTGCATGACCGCGCAATTGTCAAAGAAACGCAGTGCCGTATCACAAAAAATGGCCTGGTTGAGGAGGAATCCTCCGGAGGGCGAGGGGGGGGGATCCTCCGGAGGGCAAGGGGGGGAATCCTCAGGAGGGTGAGGGGGGGAATCCTCTGGAGGGTGAGGGGGGAATCCTCTGGAGGGCGAAGGGGGGGGTCCTCAGGAGGGTGGGGGGGGGGGATCATCAGGAGTGTGAGGGGGGGAATCCTCAGGAGTGTGAGGGGGGGAATCCTCCGGAGGGCGAAGGTGGGTCCTCCGGAGGGCGAGGGGGGGAATCCTCAGGAGGGCGAGGGGGGGGGAATCCTCAGGAGTGCGAGTGGGGGGGAATCCTCTGGAGGGTGAGGGGGGGAATCCTCTGGAAGGAGAGGGATGGGGGAATCCTCTGGAAGGAGAGGGATGGGGGAATCCTCTGGAGGGTGAGGGGGAGGATCCTCCCGAGGGCGAGGGGGGGATCCTCCGGAGGGCGAGGGGGGTGGAATCCTCCGGAGGGGCGAGGGGGGGATCCTCCGGAGGGCGAGGGGGGGATCCTCCGGAGGGCAAGGGGGGGAATCCTCAGGAGGGTGAGGGGGGGAATGCTCCGGAGGGTGAGGGGGGGGAATCCTCTGGAGGGCGAAGGGGGGGGGTCCTCCGGAGGGCGAGGGGGGGAATGCTCAGGAGGGTGGGGGGGGGATCATCAGGAGTGCGAGGGGGGGAATCCTCAGGAGGGTGGGGGGGGAATCTCCGGAGGGTGATCCTCGGAGGGCGGGGGGGGAATCCTCTGGAGGGGCGAGGAAGGGGGGGGTCCTCCGGAGGGGGCGAGGGGGGGAATGCTCAGGAGGGGGGGGGGGGGTAATCCTCAGGAGGGCGAGGGGGGGGGGGAATCCTCAGTGAAGGTGTGAGGGGGGGAATCCACCTGGAGGTGCGAGGGGTGAGGGAGGGAATCCTCTGGAAGGAGAGGGATGGGGGAATCCTCTGGAGGGTGAGGGGGGGGGAATCCTCAGGAGGGCGGGGGGGTAATCCTCAAGAGGGCGAGGGGTGGGGGAATCCTCTGAAGGGGCGAGGGGGGATCCTCCGGAGGGCGAGGGGTGGGGGAATCCTCTGAAGGGGGCGAGGGGGATCCTCCGGAGGGCGATGGGTGGGGGACTCCTCAGGAGGGGGCGAGGGGGGGAATCTTCAGGAGGGCGAAGGGGGGGATCCTCCGGAGGGCAAGGGGGGGGAATCCTCAGGAGGGGGGGGGAATCCTCAGGACGGTGAGGGGGGGAAATCCTCATGAGGGCGAGGGGGGGATCCTCTCCGAAAGGGTGAGGGGTAATTAGCCGGTTCTCACGCCCAGAAAGCTTCCCTCTAGGAACGTCAGACTTCATTATCCTCATTAAATGAATGATTGTACGTGTGTGCGTCCCGGCCGATTCGCTGGCTGCGCCCGTCAGGTTGTCTGCGGCTGAATTTGATTCATTTATAAATAATAGACACGTCGGCTTTGTTTGCCTCGTTAGCCGCGTCATGTTGTCATCGTTTACGAAGCTTTGCGCTCAGCCGGGGAACGCGAGACGGCTAACAAAGCCTCATAAAATATGCTAATTCCATTTACAGGAATGACGAGGATTGTTCGATTTTTTCAATGAGTGTCAAAATTGGATTATTGTTCAGCAAACAATTATTTTTTCAGAGCTCGGTATATCACGGATTGCTCTGTGAAGGGCCCGCGTTACCGTTGTTGTCAAGTGACCCAATCTGTTCCTTCATTAGTGAATAGCAAATCAGCATTATGGTTGCCCTAGAAGGGCCGGTTGTATCCAGAGTCCCCCCCTTTACATCACAGTGCACCCCCCCTTACCTTGTGCTGCTGCCGGGAAGAAGCTGGGGGGCGGAGCTGGGAGGCAGAAAGTGCAGAGTCTGGAGGAGGACCAGAGGAGGGCTGGAGTCAGCTGCCAGGGTCTGCTGAATGCTGAGACCAGGGGAGGTACAGATGAGGGGGTGCTGAGAGGTGCAGTATCTTGAGTTCTGTCCTTTATACTGCCAACTGCTGCTGAGACAAGGAGGGAGGCAGAGAGACGAGGTGTGCTGTGGCTGCACTGAGAGGCAACGGATCTGTAGGAGGATCTGTCCTCCTCTCTGCTGCCACTGCTGATTTACAGGAGGAGAGCTGTGCTGTTCGATCTGCACTGAGAGATGCACAATCTGAGTGTGGAACGCTGGGGGGAGCAAAAAACAGCTTCTGGAGTATGGGGTCACAGAGACAAGCTGTTGCTGTGGCTGCACTGAGCTCGGAGGTCACAGGATCTGTAGGAAGGGTTCTGGCGTTACCTGTTGTCTCTGGTGCCAAACAGTCTGGAGTTCCTGGGGTCACTGGAGGAAAACAGTCTGGAGAGAGCAGGAAAAGTTCTGTGCTGTGGGCTGCCACAGAGTACACTGGCGGTGTATCCAGAGCAGGACACCCGTCTGGAGTACGCTGGGGTCACAGGAGCAGGAGTCTGGGGTGGAGAAACCTGCTTACCTGGGTCACTGGAGCAGGGAAGAACAGTCTGGAGGCAGTACGCTGGGGTCACTGGAGCAGGAAAAGCTGGGGTCTGGAGTACAGCTGGGGTCACTGGAGCAGGAACAGTCTGGAGTACAGCTGAGGGGGTCACTGGAGCAGGAAACAGTCTGGAGTGCACTGGGGTCACAGGAGCAGGAAACAGTCTGGAGTGCACGCTGGGGTCACTGGAGCAGGAAACAGTCTGGAGTACGCTGGGGTCACAGGAGCAGGAAACAGTCTGGAGTACGCTGGGGTCACTGGAGCAGGAAAACTGTCTGGAGTACGCTGGGGTCACTGGAGCAGGAAACAGTCTGGAGTGAAACTGGGGTCACAGGAGCAGGAAACAGTCTGGAGTACGCTGGGGTCACTGGAGCAGGAAACAGTCTGGAGTACGCTCTGGGTCACAGGAGCAGGAAACAGTCTGGAGTACGCTGGGGTCACTGGAGCACGGAAACAGGAGCAGGAACAGTCTGGAGTACGCTGGGGGTCACTGGGGTCACGCTGGGGTGGAGCAGGAAACAGTCTGGAGTACGCTGGGGTCACAGGAGCAGGAAACAGTCTGGAGTACGCTGGGGTCACAGGAGCAGGAAACAGTCTGGAGTACGCTGGGGTCACTGGAGCAGGAAACAGTCTGGAGTACGCTGGGGTCACAGGAGCAGGGTCACTGGGGAGGAGGAAACAGTCTGGAGTACGCTGGGGTCAGGAGCAGGAAACACCAGGAGCAGGAAACACCTCGGCCTCTGATTTCTGCCACCGACGCACCATGCTGCACCCTGCTCACAGGCTGGTTTTGGTGACGGGGCCACATTTGTTGATATGGAGCCCTCCGGTATATGATGACTGTTGGATGCCCCCTTAGGGCCTCAGTTCCCAAGGGACTTGTAGTATTTTGGCGACATGTCCTCAAGCCGATGAGGTGCAGCTGAGGGTGCAGCTTTAGGTATGGTTCACCAAACACATGGCCAACAAAGATTTCCCTTTTGACTTCGTTCTCTCTTAATTTAGTTTTTTTTGTAAAAATTAGATTTTTCTGTTATTTCTATTGACTTTTTTTGTTAATTATTTTTTTAAATTTGTGTAATAAAGTGGCTGCTGTGGCCATTTTTCATTGGGGACAGCTATTGGTGAATGATAAAGATGGCCAATTATCGACAAATTCCTCCATCATGGTCATTCCAGTTCATTCTTGAATTGCAAATTCCACAAAATATTGTATCGCACAGCAACACAGGCCATAGACGGTCAGTCAAAAATCGGCCGATTTTCGCACAGTTAGTGAGTTAATTTGGCCGGGGCGCCGTTTTTTTTTTTCGGGATTTTGGCAGATTTTTTTTAATTGGTAAAGTTGGGAAACAATCGGCCGATTTTGCCGATCGGCAGATTTTCGTGGCAATGATGGGCAAATCGGCCAATCTTTTTACCGATAAAAAAATCTGCGGCATGAGCCGTGACCTGCAAGAAGAAAAAGAAGAATTCCAGCCTGCTATTATATTTGACATGCAAAAGTCTTGCGATTGCAACAATGTAATCTATTTGTATCTGAATAAAAACATCTGTATCCGAAATGGATCCAAATGGATCATTGTTGCAACCGCAAGACTTTTTCATGTCAAAATATAATAGCGGAGCTCTCTGCAGGGACAGAAGTAATTAAATGCCGGCCGTAGACGGGACGAAAAATCAGTCAATTTTTTTTTACCGTTGGTGGTAACGTCAGCCTATTGAACGACCGATTTTTCGGGGTTTTTTGGGGGGGTTTTTTAAAACGGCCAGTTTTTGACCCGTCTATGCCTGCAATAAGACTTCATTCTATCAATTGTCTTGAATTTCATACAGATGGAGGAAGTGGTACCAGCACAGTCATTGCCCATTAGAATTTTTTATTTTTTTTCACATTTTCTAACCCTTTCAGGCAAAAAAGTAGCTGCGGCTAGAATATGATTGATTTCCTATGACAGCAACACAGCAGCCGGTGCTGTAAAATCTACATGTACCTGATCTCCCCGAGGACACCCGATACATCTGGATTCTTTTTTTCCAGTTGGACCTATTTCAGGGTAATTGGTTTTATCTCAGCTCATCGCAGTGGCACGCTGTGCAATATTCCAGCCCAACCCTACAGGCGATGGATGATGAATAGATTGTTATATGAGCAGATCGGGTTATTGTGTTAGAATGTTATAAAATATGGTTATCATTCTTTCTTGGGAGGCTGGATGAAATGGTTTATGTATTTTTTATTTTTTGTAACTGTTTGGTAATGACATGGGAGGTGCGGCATGGCTCAGCGACCAGTTAAGACACAGAGTCCGGTTGCAATAAAACCTGGAAACTTATATTGAAAGAGAATGGCAAAATCCAAACACTCCAATGGGAGAGCACCACTTAGGGGGAAAAAAGTCACAGTTCAGTTTCTAATGCAGAAATGCAGCGAGAAGAGATGCACCGACAGTGTCTGTTTCAGAGGGTAAAGTGCGGCCTGGACGGTCCAGTCCCAAAGGAGAGGCTTCCTTGAGGACAGCAAATCCCTAGTCTGTCCCTACTCATCAAGAACCTTTCCCTGCTGTTAGTCACTTTCCATGTCAGACGGGGGTCTCTCGCTCTCTTCTCTACCCACTTCGCAAATGCAGGGTCATAGACATGGGGAGGTGCGGCATGGCACAGCAACAGTTAAGACACAGAGTCCGGTTACAATTAAAACCTGGAACTTATATTGAAGGAGAATGGCAAAATCCAAACGCTCCAATGGGAGGGGCACCGCTTAGGGGAAAA